GATGGTGAGAGGAAGAAAGTGGAAGATTGACACTTATCTGCGGCAATCAGACACGTCACCATAGTCAGTGTCTCCGGAAAATTTCAAAAGCATTCGAGTTTCAGCAGATGCAGAGAAGAGAGATGAAAAAGTGATGTTGATGCAAAATTGTTGTTCATATCTTTGATTGAAGAGCCCCATCGGCAGTTTGACCGGAAGAGATAGATCTAGGAAAAGATAGATCTAGGAAGAGATAGATCTAGAGAAGCGGATGAGACGTGAACTCCAAAGACAAGTATGAGAGTGTCAACGAATTGTTTAGAAATTTGGGGTTTAACTATAGTAAGATTAAAAAGGTAATATGTAGGGAATAAATTGTAATAACTCTGATCTTTTTAATTTTTTCCATACTTTAGTCTTATCAACACGGTTCTAAGAACCGGTCTAGTTGGACCGATTAATCAGCGCCTAGGTGTTAGGCGGACCAAACTGTATAGGACTAATCGGCGTAGTCAACCAAAAAATCAGCATAGTCACCCACTTAGTCGGCGCCTAGGCATTAGGCGCACCTCAATCGCCCGACTAACGCTTAAAGAGATTTAGAACACTGCTTATTAGTATTTAGGGATCTTTCTTTAGAATAACTTGTTGAGTTACTTAAGTATGTCAAATTATTAATATTATATCTATTTCATTGGATTTTATCAATTTTCTTTTTATATTTTTGAAAACATTGTCAGTTCTCATTCAAAAGTAGATAATTTGTAGTTTTACTTATTTCTCTTTTATCTGCATAAAATTATATTCATCATTTTAAAGGAAAAATAATTCAAATACCTCAAACTTTGAAGGGTTGTGAAGTAAATACCATGATCATGTGCTTTGTATTTCACAAATGTAGATGTGTGATGTTAAATAAATAATTTAAATACATTAATTATTTATGAAATCGCAATTATCATTCTTAGCTTCTATTTGGGAAATACCTAATATTGTTTCGATCTATACATACATACACACATACATGTATGCATGCATGCATGCATACATACATACATACATACATACATACATACATACATACATACATACATACATACATACATACATACATACATACATACATACATACATACATACATACATACATACATACATACATACATACATACACACACATACATACACACAGATACATACATATTAATTGAGTCCTTCCATTAAAATTTTCCGTTTACATTGACGGTAGCTAATTTATTAACATCCCAAAGTTTTAAACCTTTTAGAAAAATATAATTACACACACATATACATTATAAATAAATAATTAAATAAATAGTATAAAACCAAATGTATGGATTAAGTAACATATACTACGTAACATATAAGAGAGATTCAAATAACCAATTATATACTAGTACATATCTCTATCTCTACAATTATATAAGCATGAAAATTGTTAGGGGTATAGTGGTCCTAAAAAAATGTTTGTGTCTTCTTTATGCATTGTCCAATTGTACCGGATGCATATTTGGTAAAAGATTTAAACAGTTGCCGTAGGTAGAGGGTCACAGACTCACGGTGACGGATATGCCGTTAAACCGGAGCTATTTGTTGTGCATCTCAAAACTTCCAGAGTAATTACTCCGTATTAATTAATACGTAATACAAACTACTACAGTTTTAAATCCTTCATTTCCTCTTTTCCCTGCAAGACCCTCCCTCTTCTGCTTATCCGTTCCAGAAAGGCCGACAAGCTGCTGCTATTGACTCTTCTGCTTATCCGTTCAAGAAAGGGCTGCTGCTATTGAGCATATTTTGGGATTCGTGGCATCGTTTTGTAAGTTCTTTCTTCTCTTCTAATGAATTAAATTCAGTTCATTCCTAGAGTAGCATAGTTTCTTTTCAATTCCTAAATCATCTTGCTTCTTGGTTTTTGTATTGTTGATTGGATGTTAATTACCCTGTGTTTATATTCATGTACGATCGTGTCTACGCATCCCTTCATCTGTATTTCTTCACATCCTTATGTTTATATTCTTTGTTTATTTGTTTGTATCCCTTTTTTGTTTTGATTGCTATGTGTTTGCTGAAATGTCCATATGAAGTATTCTAGGTAACTAGCTAACATTTACTCACAATTGGAGGCTGTTTTTGAATTGTTAACTATGTAGTTGCTAGCATGTAAAAGTTTTCATATTTGGTATCTTAAATTTAGACTTTAAGAAATGGTAAGGCATCCCATTTCAGCTTTGAGATGACTACCACTATACTTTAGCAAGAAAAAATGCAGATTAGTAATACTACTGCATATTGCTTACCTAATCTACCTCATTTTAATTTAACTTTAGTTTTGAACCTTGGGGCTACTGCTAACATTGGTAAGTTAAAAAAAAGTATGACAATTATCACTCCCATCTAGAATTCGAGGAGAGTGAATCATGTTACAAGGAGGTATGTTTTTATTCCTTTGCTCCAAGAGAGGCGCTTCTCCGCATGTGTGTGTTTCTAGAAGCTTTTTATGCTAGAGTGAAGTTGCAATATCTATTTTTGTTTTTTTAGACACACCACTAAATCAACTATGTCAGGTACCAAATTCATTATCCTCCCATGATTCTATCAATAGCTAGAAGTGAGGAAAATTGCAACATGATGAGTTTTTTTCCATCCCATTTGTTCTTGTTTAGAAGATATGTCACAAGAATAGCATCCAATATTCATATGTTTTACATGATATATATTTTTAACTAATTTTAGACAAATAATTGACTGCTTAAATTTCATTATTCAGTATGTGTAGTGGTGGAATCTTGCTTGATGTTCGATAACAAGTTTACACATGGCACTGTTGGTTACATGGATCCATATAGCTTACCGCGAGGAGGCTAGCCAAAATTCAACATGGCCTTAAATCATTTGTTTCTACTCTTTGAGAGTTGTATCGCTTCATTATTATCTTTTTGAAAGAATTAGAGTTCGGGAAATAAATTAAACCTCTATATTGCGTCTGAATGGGCATTTGAACTTAGAATCAAGGAGAAGCAGTGCACAAAAGAAGCATTAGTGGTGATTTTAGGTGACATCTTGGGTCCGGATTAATGGGGCTTTAGTTTCAGACTTTGTATTAATTACGAGTAGTTTTAAACTAAATACTATTTTAAGCCATACAAATTGCAGACAGGTTATTGATCTATGTTGCTCATTAGCCATACATAATGATTTGGATAGCTAACCGTCGTATTAAGAGCGCGTTTGGTGGTTCTGTTTTTCATTATCAGTCAGTTTTTTTAACCAAACACGAAACTTTTGATTTTGCGCGCTGAATTGTGTAGTAATAAGAAAAAGTAAGGTTGGAGTTACTTTTGTGGCTGTATTGGCTGAAGTTACTGTAAATGACCACTTTAGCTATCTTTTATATAATTTTTTCTTTATTTTACTAAGAAAATATATTTTAAATATTTTTTTTATAAATCAGCAGAATCAGCCAATACAACCACTTCAATTAAAACTTCATAAATTTCAGCAGAATCAGCTGATCTAGCTGATTTCAATGCTATCAAACATGCTCTAAGTTAGAATACAGAATTTTGACTATTCGAACATATTTAGGTTAGAATGTTTTTGTTAACAAATAGTTAGACTAAGATTTTAAAAATTAGTGAGTGTATGAACATGTTTAATTTTGAAAATTACATATTTTTTCTCAGATGATCAAATGGGCATGCTTCCGCTTTGCAATAGCTTTATGGTTAAAACAAATATCTCTATATAATTACATGTTTTTTGTGTTCTTTACTATTCCAAATGAATCTTATCCTATTATTATAGTTATTGTAGTCATCTTGGTTGCTTTTATTCCTTTCATACAATCCAAGATACATATATTTTCATCATTAACTTTGATTATCAATTTCTAACAAATTATGTACTCCCTCCGTCCCATATTTAACTCCGGTTTTGACCGGGCACGAGTTTTAAGATAGTGAGATTTGTGTGGTGGAGAGTTATGCAGAGGAGAGAGAAATGTGCAAGAATGGTTGTGAACCACATATTTTTTACCAAAAAGGGAAAAAGGAGATAAATTTGGGACGAACCGAAAAGGAAAGAAAGAAAATAATTCCGGGACGGAGGGAGTATACAAATAGTTTAGGGGGGTGTCCCCAACTTAGATTTTAAAAGTTTTTAAGGATTATGAATTTCATAGGATTCTAGTGGAATTTCAAGAATCCATAGATTTTAATGGAATTCCATGGATTTTAAGAGAATATAATTTCATGGATTGTAATGGAATGTTGTAAAATTCTATTTTCATCGGAGATTGATTTTGGTTTTTGAACTGTGGGGAACCTCAGGACTTTGACATCGACTGATTTGTCAAATATGGCACCCCAAGAGTCTCATCTTCGAGTGGCTTCTCAGGTGTATGTTGTCTGTCTATCTGTTAATTGGATGATTGATTATTGACATTGTTCCTATTATGAACATTGCTTGCTTGCTTATTGAGGGGGTGAGAGGTGCCTATAGTGAATCAGCTGCAGAGATGGTGTATCCAAATTGTGAAGCAGTACCTTGTGAACAATTGGATACTGCATTTATGGTGAGATATGCTACCTTTCACTACTCACGACCTAAGGAAGTCCATTCGATGGTGCTTGCTGTCATATATTTATGGTGGTTTGATTGTCAGAGATCTGCTCTCACCATTTCAAGGGGGAGGTTTGAAGAGGTAGAAGATAATTTGTTGAGGAGTGGGGAAGCAGAGTTGGGAGAGGCGTATGAAGAGGTAGAAGATAATTTGTTGGAGAGTGGGGAGGAGTTTGGGAAGAAGAGGCCGGCAGCAATCCTTTGAAATTCGAGGGGTGAGGGCAAGAGAATAGGTGGAGTGGATTGGGGTTATTTTCCTATTTCATCTCCATTAAAAACAATTGAAATCCAAATGAAAGAAATCCATGGAATAAATGGGGACACCCATATTTTAAAGGATTTTATAAAATCCAAGTTGAGGACACCCGGATTCTTGTGGAATTCTAAAATCTTTTAAAGTCCATTAAAATAATGTCTAAACGAGTAAGCACATGAAATTGAAAAAAATAACGAGGATGGTGGTCTCTGATATAAAATGGTGGCGGTTCCGCGATTAGGCTGTCAGTTCGCTCACATCACTCCTTACGGTACTCTTTGTACAAATTTCAAATCCCTTCAAAATCACTCATATTTCACTCCATCAAATTATATTGAGGAAATCAAACGCTTCTCGATCTCAGGCTCAGCTACAATTTCAGTAATGGCTTCTGCTGCTAAAAAGGTACCATCTGAAGCTCTCAATTGTTTGGGTTTCCACTTTAAATACTTGAAATAGTCTTGTTTTTCCCTTGTTATAGGTTTTGGTTCCGGTGGCGAACGGGACGGAGCCGATTGATGCGGTGGTGCAAATTGACATACTGCGGAGAGCTGGAGCCGAAGTTACGGTGGCTTCGGTGGAGAATGAGCTTCGAGTCGAGGCCCTACACGGAGTCAAGATCGTTGCAGATTCGCTCATTTCCGATTGCGCCGATACTGAGTTTGACCTCCTCTCTCTTCCGGTATGTTTACATACTCTAATGATGCGTAGTGCATGAGTTCCGGTTCTCAGCTTGGTCTTTTGGCCAGTCACCAGAATTGGTTTTCAGTGACGCCAATCAGCGCGGCTCTATCACTCAGGACATTGATCTACCACCTGAGACCAGGGACCTGCCCGTCCAATGGCTGATCTTAATTTTGAACTAGTGCAGTGCATAGTTTCATTGCATAGTCCTGTTCTAGTACAGAAAAATCAAGTCTTTCTTCACTAGCTCAAGTCTTTTTTCATATTCGACCAACTCAACCCTATCCATCCTCAGACTGACCTGGCATAGGCCTGCTTACTACTTAGGCGCTACCTAGTACCTATTGATAATTGGAAGCAGTTTTATGTTGTTCCACACTCACATTGTTTCCTTGGTTAATGCACAAAGATTGATACTTATGTTAATTTACAAACACATAATTTTAACAAGTATAACGCTACAATGTTACCTACTCATTGATGTAAGTGCAGAACTACATTTTGGTAGTAGTAACTTACTGTGGCCATCTATCATTTTTCTTTATGCAATGGGATTGTAAATTTGTAACACTTGTGGGTCGTGACTATCATAAATATTTATATTTAAAATTTTTAACCTTGTTTCTTAGATTCTTTCATACTATTAGTCTTATCCTGATATTAAGTTTTCCTATTGATGATATGAACTCACTGCAGCACCGTATCGTGTCTATTTTTTTCTTTGTTATATGTTGCCTTCCAGTATTGGTATTGATCAGTCTTATTTGATCACTACTTATTAGTATGTCATTGATAATTGCAGGGAGGGATGCCTGGTGCGGCTACCCTTAGAGACTGCAAAACATTGGAAAGCATCTTCAGAAAACATGCAGAAAGCAAACGGTTATATGCGGCAATTTGTGCCTCTCCAGCAGTTGCACTTGGATCGTGGGGACTGTTGAAGGGCCTTAAGGTAATAATCTCAGGTCATTGGATCTCATTTTTTGGACTTTCAGAGTACTAATTCGGCTTGTTTATTTTGTTTTCAAAAGACTATGGTTATAAATGAATGGGTGGAGACGTTGAGTACTTGATCTCTTTGTCAAACTCAAATGATTTGAGTTTCAATGTGATAGAACCCAAACAATAGTTCATGAATGTAATCACAAGGCATCAAATGTATATTCAGGGGAGTTTTCATTTTAATTATGCACCTTTCTCATTGACAGGCAACTTGTTATCCATCATTCATGGAGCAACTTTCGCTTGCTGCAAATGCTGTCGATTCAAGAGTGCAGGTGGATGGAAATGTTATCACAAGTCGTGGACCAGGAACTGTCATGGAGTATGCTGTTGCTCTGGTTGAGCAATTGTATGGAACAGAAAAAGCTATTGAAGTTTCAAAGCCACTGGTATGTGAGATTTTGGTTACTTTTGAATAATAATAATACTACACATAGGTTACTTCATATATCCTCTCTTAACCTTATTTGTTTTGAAAAGTACTTTTATAAGTTCCATTTTCTTTTATCATTGATCAAATTGATGTAATCTGCTGACTCATGATGGTTTTCAAACTATGCCTATTGTTCAGGTAATGCGCTCTAATCACGGTGATGGATATACATATGCTGAACTCAATTCAGTAAATTGGACAGTTACTAATAACCCAGAGGTGAGGTGCTTAGTGGTGTGAGATTAATAATTGCTACTGATTTAATTTTTCCCGATTAACAATGTTACATATAATCCTCAATTATACTTTTTCATTACATTTCCACCAGATACCCTTCAATATAAAAGGCCCATTTAAGTAATTTTGCATAAACTAATACTATCATGTGTATGACTCTGTGCCTTCTTCAGATACTGGTACCCATTGCCAATGGATCTGAGGAGATGGAAGCTCTTATTATTGTTGATGTACTTCGACGAGCTAAAGCTCAAGTAGTGGTGGCATCTGTTGAAGATACACTAGAGATTGTTGCTTCTAGGAAAGTGAAATTGATTGCTGATGTCCTGCTTGAGGATGTTGCCCAGAGTACATATGATCTGATTGTCTTGCCTGTAAGTTTAATGCCTTTCTTTATATATTCTGTAATTTGTGTATACAACTCATTTATCATCATTACTATGCAGGGTGGGCTTGGCGGTGCCCAGTCATTTGCAAACTCAGAAAAATTGGTCAACATGTTGAAAACCCAAAGAGAATCAAACAAACCATATGGAGCAATATGTGCTTCCCCTGCCCTAGTCCTTGAACCACATGGTTTGCTCAAGGTGAGTTTATTATAAGATGATGGATCTAACTATTATGGCTGATATCAGACACATTAGAAATTAGTTACCATAGATTTCTTGAGTGGATATGGATTGCCACAGTGCTTCATTCTAACAGCACTTTTGCAAGAAACCTTCTTTATTAATCTGCTTCTGGTAGTACTTTGCTTATCCAGCAGTTTGATTTACATTTTCAGGGTAAAAAGGCTACCGCTTTTCCAGCAATGTGCAATAAGCTCTCAGATCCAAGTGAAATAGAGAATAGGGTGATAGTTGATGGTTATCTCATCACAAGCAGAGGGCCGGGAACTACAATGGAATTTGCACTGGCCATTGTGGAAAAGTTCTTTGGGCGCAGTAAAGCCCTAGACCTTGCCAACGGGATGGTTTTTGTGCAGCAGTAAAACTAGTAGGTGTATTTATGTTGTTCCTGTTTTATGACAACTACCATTGCACAGATGATATCCAGTTGAGTGTAATAAAAGCATACAAAAGACGGGAACATTCATCTATAGAACTGTTCTTCAGTTTGAAGAGATGTTACAACTTACAATTATATCATTACATTTTAGTACACTCATCCAAATAATCCCAAAAAAACTCAAAAATTATATGAAGTGTCATTCTCTTAGGTCCCGTTTGGTAATGGTTATGTAGCATAAATGGCCGAATCTCCTAATTTTAATGAAAGTAAAAGGATTACTTTTAATTTTGCTGATTAGCAGAATAAGCCACATAAGGCAACCAAACTGCTAAATGCTAATTCAAGTACTCCGATCAGATATGGAAGTGAAAGTCATTGTTGCTTGTGTAGTGGAGACGGCAGTGCTCTGTAGCGATAAAGACTTATTATTTTCATTACCTGGTCCTGCAGATAAGGTATGCATGCTCTTTTTCATTCTATTTCTGAGGCCCATCCCTTCAGGCAATAGACTAGGCTCTGATATCTCCATGCCATCCACATTCATCTCCCCTGTCAACATTTTCACCACTGTTGGCATAGACGGTCGGCTATTAGGCATGAAATTGGTGCATAACAAAGCGATCTTTATATATCTAAAGGCTTCATCTAAATCAAAATTCGCTCCTAGTGAAAAATCAACCAACTCAGCAAGCTCCCCTTTCTGATAGAATTTCCATGCCTGCATATCAAACAAACTTGTCCGATCAAATGCTTACCCCCCATTCATTGGAAGTTTGAACCTAATGGGTTATTTAGCTCATCAAGAGCCTAACTACTTTGAATTTGCCATCAGGTCAGAAATGCATTTACCAGACTAGAAAATGTTTTGCAAATTCAGAAATTTATACCCTTTCAAGAAGATATTGATCACCAAGTGGTAGTCTCTTGTTAGTGTTGGATCTTCCACTAACAATTTCCAGGAGAAGTACTCCAAAGCTGTAAATGTCGGTTTTTTTTGTCAATTGGCCGCGAATCACATATTCAGGAGCCAAATAACCCCTGCAACCATTATGATCAGTTGATGGAGCAGCACACAAATAAGTCTACTTTTAGCAAGTGTTTGGAAGCATGGAAATAGTGTAGTAGAGAGCGGAAGAGACAGTTCTTGAGGCGATGCAATGGGTTGGTTGAAGGGAAATTGAGGAGTTGAGGACAGATGAGCGGAAATGGTTTATAACCCTATCAAACCCTTTTTTTAATTCAAATATTTCCTCCTTATTTTCTACTTTTTCCAACCAAACAATTCTTTCTTAGTTCTATTTCTCTCATATTATTTTCTTTTCTTACCAGCCTCCCATCCCTTTACTTCCATTCCCCCTATCAAACACAGCCTTGCTGAACTTGAGAAGAGTGACTTACGGGGTCCCAGCTATGCGCGTACTGATATGAGTGAGGTTGTCGGGGAAAAGCTTGGCAAGGCCGAAGTCAGAAATCTTTGGGGTCAAATCTTTGTCGAGAAGGATATTGCTTGCTTTAATATCTCTATGAATAATTTGAGGCTGGATTTCTTCATGGAGGAATTCAAGTCCCCTGGCAACCCCTATGCATATTTTTCTCCTTCCACTCCAGGTAAACTGAATCCCACTTGACCTAGATCCTACAAATTGATCAAGTCATCATTAGTCATCAGGAAAAAAAGCTGGATTTGGAACCTCTAGGAGAGAGGGAGATCACCTATAAGAGTTCGAGCAAGGCTATTATTCTCGAGATAGCCATAGACCAATATCCTATGATCCCCTTCTACACAACACCCATGTAGCTTTACCAAATTTTCATGTTCCAACCCAGAGATAACCACTATTTCTGTCAAAAATTCTTTAACACCCTGTCTTGAATCGACTGACAGAACCTTAATAGCAGCTAAAGTTCCATCACTCAAGCTCCCCTATTCAAGTGAAACAAATCATCTCAGTGCAAACAAGAAATGGGTACTAGAACTTCCAAATTGGTTTGCTACAACAAGTCACCATCTTGGGAGGACATCCTCAGCCATGACAACAGTAAATATAATAACACACATCAATGTATAAGACACTAAGTTGCTATTTCTTTCAGGTTGAAGTTCAAGTATGAAATCTCAAGTTAAATAGGTCATACCTTGTATACAGTGCCGAACCCTCCCGCTCCAATTTTGTTTGATGGGCTAAAATTTTCAGTAGCAAACCTCAATTCTTTATAAGTGTACAGCTTTGTGTTCTGAATGCTGGAAATCTCTGCCAATTTCAGATTAACTATAATTACCATAAAACTGATGCCGTCTAAGTTGAATTATGATAAGAGAGGTCTAACTAACCTTCTTCAATGTCTACTTGATGATGTCCCAGGGGAGGTGACTTCCTTCTGCGGCAGAGAGGGAAGAAACAAGACGTCATACTACCAGTTTGATTAAGAAACACCACAACTCTCATATATGCAGCCTCCTGTCAGGGTAAAAGTTATTCAATAAGAGTTTTGATATGTGTATAATCCACTATCTAAAATGGTATTCCACGGCACAGAAAGCCTCTCTTCACCAGTTTGTGTAAGAATATCAATCACAACAGAACACTACGAGTAATTTTTAAAGGAAGATATCTATCTTCAGGGTCCAGTCAATTGTTCACCTTCATGCAGGTGGCAGAGCAAGTTTGACTTTCCATAGTAGGTCCAAAGTTGAAAAAGTTATAACAGGCCGACAGCCATATCTATGATCTAATGACAAATTTTGTAGCAAGTACATTATATCAAAATGTTATATTTAAGAAGCATTTTATTTAAAAATTAGCTGTGTAAACTGGTCATTTTCAGCCTTATTTTTTCATTATTATCAGCTTCGCTCGTAGTTAAACAGAATATTTTGATTGCTAATCAAAATAATACTCTGTAAGTAGAAAAAATGGCGGCCACTTAGATTGTTTAGGGATCAGCGACGAAGGAGGTAGGAAACCGATCGGCCAAGACTTCCCAACCAAGTTGCTACAATTCAACGGCTTGTTGTCAAAATCAACTTTATAGGTAGTACAAAAATAAGTTTTTAGTCTTGGTACTTTTTGTTTAAGATGATTATAATTTTCATCTCTGCATCATACAAAAATTTATTTGTGACCCCCATCTAGTTAAAAGAAGATTTTGGGTTTAGAAAAAATTAGAGAAAATTTCCTAAATAGTAGGGATGGACTGGGCCATGCCGAACCGGCCCGGAACCGAACCGGCCCTGTACTGTTCGGGGGATAACAAGAAAGCAAAAAAAAATAAGTATTGAACCGGGCCCAGCCCGGCCCGGTTAGGCCCGGAACCGGAACCGGCCCGGCCCTGGTCCGGCCCGGAACCGGAACCGGCCCGGCCCGGGTCCATCCCTACTAAATAGGAGTAAAAAAGTTTTGAAATTCCAAAATAGGAGTACCATGTTTTTTATTCCTTGAATAGAAGTAAATTTTGCCAAGTTTGGCATTACTAGGTTTTAAAACATGACATTTTTTCCAAACCTTATAGAGTACTCATATTCAGGGAATAAAAAACATAATACTCATTTTTTGGAATTTCAAAACGTTTTTCCTCCTATTTAGATTAATTTCTAAAAAAATTACATCGTGGGCATAATTCTACTTTTATCCTTTGACACACTATTAATTGAGTTAAAATTAAGAGGTCGTTTGGTAACCATCTATTTGGACTTATGAGGCTAATCAACAATTTTTTTCATCAAACACATAACTTTTGATTTCAGGCGTTGAATTGTGTAGTACGGAGTAATAACAAAAAGTAAGGTTGGAGTTACTTTTCTGACTGTATTGACTGAAGTCACTGCAGATGACCATTTTAGTTATTTTTATATATAATTTTTTTTTATTTATTTTAATAATAAAATATATTTTAGATATAATTTTTTCTTAAAGCAGCAAAATCAGCCATTTCAGTCCGACCTTCATAAATTTCAGCAGAATTATTCAGCCAATTTTCGTATAACCAAACGGGTTCTAAGTTAAAAAACAATCACTTTCTTTCAAATGTCTTAGGCCTCGTTTGGTGACCTTGTTTTTTAGCTTATGAGCTTTATTGGCTAAACTTTTTCACCAAACATGTAACTTTAATTTCACGTGCAATATTGTACGGAGTGTAATAATATAATCAAAATAAGTAAGCTCGAAGTAACTTTTCTGGCTGGCTGAATTTATTGTAGAAAATCATTTTAGCTGTTTTTTATATAATTTTTCTTTAATTTTCTAATAATATAACTATGTTTTTATTATTAATAAAATAAATATATTAGAAATTATAGAAGAGAGTAGAATGAGAAGAAGGGACATATATTACTTTATTCTGGAAATAAAAGGATTATAGTCATATTGTTGCATTTAGGGCTACTTTTAGTCCTACGTAGGGCTACTAGTCGTTAAATTTATAGTGCAAATAAGATTAAACTCAAATATAATACGTAGTATAAATTTATAGTATAAGGGGGTGTTTGGAACCGCTTTTAGAAACTGTTTCTGCTGTCCCAAGGAGCACTTTGAAGCAGAATCAGTTTTGAAGGTGTTTGGATATGATTTTAAAAGTGATTTTAAATGGCTGAAAAATCAGATTTTTAGGATATAGGTGGTAACAGCTTCTCCAAAACAGCTTCTGCTTCTTCTAGTTTTATCCCGAGAATAGCCTTGCTCAATAATCCTTCAAACCCTATGCACACATCACATTTCTCTTATTCGTGCCTTCAACCTCCCAGACCTGCGAGCTTCTCCTTTTCCAACGACGCTAGATTGGATTTTTTGTATTGACTTTTTCAGCAGAGATTATTATTATAGAACCATCAAAAGTACGGATTATTGGTATGAATTTCACCATTCTAATAAGATCATATGGATAAACAAAACAGAAGTTATGTAAAAAGACTTGGTTAATGTGTATTTCTTAAACTTTTAACCTTCAAATAATTTTCATTTGATTTGTCATTTCTTATATTTGTCATTGTTTAAACTTAGAATGTACTCCCTCAGTCCCCTAACTTTGTCTCGCTTTACCTTTTTCGTCTGTCCCATTAAGTTTGTCTCATACCATATTTGGTAATATTTGAGTGGTTAAAATTCATTCTTACTTTATTCATATTTTATCAATTCAATATCAACCACACAATTCTACTTTTTCTTAAAAACCACACCACACCCCTTTGTCCCAAACTTAGGGGGGACGGAAGTAGTAATATTCTTCTACCGATGGATTTAAATATCATCGTGTATGTACCGATGGATTTTTTTGAATGAAAATTAGCCGCAGAGCCCTATACTAGCGAAAAAAATTTGCCCCACTACACAAGCGGAAAAAATTGTCATGATTTTTTCACCCCCTATACTAATGGGAAAAAATTCGCCCCTTGACTCGAAATCCTGGATCCGTCCCTGTATATTAATATGGTACTCCCTCCGGTCCATATTAAAGTTCTCACTTTCCTTTTTGGGATCTCCCTTATTTAAGTTCACACTTCCATTGTAGGAAACAAAACAGTGCAAAACAGTAGTGCCAAACAGTGTCAAACAGTGTCCAAACATTGCCAAACAGTGCACTTCACAGTAAAGTCAAATTTATTTTCTTAATCTGTGTGAAGTCAAACTGGGAACTTTAATAGGGACCGGAGGGAGTATTATATTTCTTGAACATACATATTGAGGTTAAATCTCTCAGCCCAAAGGTCCAATATATAATAAATACATTTGATGGGTAATCGGTATGGACGCGCTCATATATAGAACAAGTGAAATATCAAGATAAGATGTATTTGGTTTGTATATTAATGAAGAACTCTTAGTATACACTCAAGGTCTCTTATGAACACCAAGTGTTTTGCTCTACTACAGTACTGTTTACACGGAGGGAGAATTGAATGCTTAGAAGTCAACCCCTCTTCGGAGTTATGGGGGGAAGCTATTTATCAATTTTGCTTTGGGTACACACTTATCATACACACACATACACACTATAAATAGCCTAAAAAATTACCATTTTTTACTCCCTCTCCTACCACACGTGTAAAACAGAGCCTTCAAAACAACCCCACCCTCCCTCCTCCCTTCCCGCTTCTTGCTTTCTTTCTTCTTCCCGCAACAGCACCCCAACCGCAGCAGTACACCCGCTGTCTTTGTTCTTCTCTTCAAACCAATGGATTTTGGTGGTATTGTGAACGAAACCATCATTGATACTACCGTGGACGACTTTTGGGCCGATTGGGATCAAACGATCGGTGGTTCTCGAGTTGAAGGACAAATTCCGGTGGCGGCGGAAGTTGATGGCGACTCGGCGGCGGCCGCCATGGACGACGTCCCTGAGCTTGGTATGAGTTCGTTTTGATTTCATTTGCTTTAAAGTAAATATATATGTGTTTGTTCTTCACAGACAATTGACTGTATTTGTGTAGTGTTTATGTGAATTGTATAATATGTCTGTGTGTATGTTTCAGTTGTCTGAGTGTTATTATACAACTGTGAAGTGTATTGACTTTTGTCTGTGTAAATAAAGTTTTAAATTTACTTATGTCTGTGAGTACATGTACTTCTGTTTGAAATGTCTGTGTGTAAATATAATTGTGTCTGTGTGTATATATACTTCTGTCTGTGCGTAAATAGACCACTGCCTATGTGCTTAAATATACTTATGTCTGTGCATGTTGGTCAGATGGAGAAATTCAGCAAAATGAGAGTGGTGTTGGTTCTATAAAAGCTCCAGAGGTTGGTATGGAATTTGATAGCAAAGAAGCGGTGTATGATTTTTACAAAACATATGGGAAGCGTTTAGGGTTTCCCGTAAGAACTAGGAGTACCACCAAACACAAAAATGGGGTGGATATAGTTGGAGTGTTACTAGAGTGTTCTCATGCCGGTAGTAGATCTAGTAGGTCAAAAAATCAATTGAAGCCTCAACCTTCAATGCAAATGGGGTGCGGAGCAAGAATACGAGCACACACAAATTATGAGGGACGTTGGGAAATATCAAAAATCTGCCTTGATCTTACCCATCCCATGAGCCCAACAAAGGCTCGCCTATTCCGGTGCCATAGGACTTTGACTCCCCAAGCAATGAGGCAAATTGCAATCAACGATGTCGCCGGAATACGACTTCATAAGACCTTCAATGAAGCCGTTGTTGAAGCCGGTGGATATGACCAACTTCCTTTTATTGAAAAAGATTGTAGGAACTACATTCAAAAGGTAAGACAACTTAGGTTAGCGAGTGGTGATGCCATGGCAATTCAAGAGTTCTTTGCTAAAATGCAAGCTCAATGCCCCAGATTTTTCTTTGTCCTCGACTTAGATGACGAATCTCGATTGCGTAATGTGTTTTGGGCCGACAACCGATGTAGATATGCGTACAAAGAGTTTGGAGATGTCATCACTTTTGACACGACCTACCTCACGAATCGGTATGACATGCCTTTTGCACCTTTTGTGGGAGTTAATCATCACGGTCAATCAATTTTGCTTGGATGCGGATTAATCTCTAATGAAGATACGCAAACATTCGTATGGCTCTTTAAAGCATGGCTAGAGTGTATGGAAGGACGTGCTCCAATGGGCATTATTACGGACCAGGACCGTGCAATGCAAAACGCCGTCCAAATTGTTTTCCCAAATACAAGACATAGATGGTGTTTATGGCATATTATGAAAAAGGTACCGGAAAAAATGGGAGGAATTACAGAAAAAAAAGAAATCTTGGATGCTATTCACGAATCGATTTATGACTCTCAATATGTTTCAGAATTTGAGCAAAGGTGGAAGGACATGATACAAAGGTACCCTTTATTTCCTAAAAAAATTGACGCATTACAGAAGCAATTTGTCTGTGAACTAAGTTTATATTCACATCACAGACAATGTATGTTTACTACACAGACATTATAATGTTTGTGGAACTAGAGCTTATTTGTATGATCATGGCACATACGACTTATTTTACTGCACTTGCATTTGCAATGTACCACACAGACACATTAATGTTTGCGGGCACAAAACATATTGTATATGTGCTAAGATTGCGTGCCCATTCCAGAGAGGTATTGTTTGTGTATGAAAGAAATTTGTATGTCACAGACATAACAAATGTACAGCACAGACACAATAGTGTCGGTGCTGTACATAGTATATGTAATTGATGTATATTGTTTAATGTTATTTCAAGTATTCCCTTAAAGACCGTGAATGGCTTGCAGTGATGTACAATGAACGACACCGGTGGGTACCATGTTTCTTAAAGCCAAGCTTCTGGGCGGGTATGTCTACCACTCAACGAAGTGAAAGTATCAATTCTTTTTTCGATGACTTTGTGAATTCGAAAACTACTCTTAAACAATTCGTTGAACAATACGGACGTGCACTGCGAAGTAAGGCAGAAAAAGAATTTCACACCGATACAAGTTCGTTTGCAAAAACGATTCCTTGTGTTACATCATTTGAAATGGAAGAACAAGTCCAAGAAATTTACACCCTAGCGAAGTTTAAGGAGTTTCAAGATGAACTTGTAGGTACATTATATTGTGATCTCCTACAAAGCGAAGGTGATACAAAATTTAATGTAAAGGAGGTCCGAAAGATTAATGGGTTTCGAAAGACCATTAACTTTGTTGTAGAATATGACACATTGATTACTTTTGGAATATGTAGTTGTCACTTGTTCGAATTTAGGGGTACGGTTTGTAGACACTTGATTGTGGTCTTACTTCGCCTTGGATTGGAGCTCTTGCCCGAGGTCTACCTATTGAAAAGATGGAGGAAAGATGTTAAAAGAGCGTACACGAAGGTGAAAATCAATTACGATGGGTGGATCACAACGGTGGAACAAGAACGCTTTCATAAGTTGTGCAAGACATTTGAATCTCTTGCAAACATGATTGCGGATGATGATGAGAAGTACCAAAGTGTTCTTCTTTGGTTGGAGTCTCAATTGTCCACATATACTCCTCCCCAAGTTCATCCTTCTTCCATATGTGGCAACCTTACATCTATCCCACAAGCGAGCAATAGTGTGCAAGGTGACATTCCAAAAATCATTGGAGATCCGAAGTGTGCAAAGCGTAAGGGTGCACCGAGGAAAAACCGCCAAAAAGGACCATTGGAGAAGGGGAAGAAGAAATCAAGTTCTAGGACCGACAATGCAAGCACCCCACAACCGACCTCTCAGGATGGCAATGGACAAGGTGGACTTAATGACATGATGAATTGTAGTGGTTTAGATTTAAATCTTAGTTTGATGTATTAAAGCACAGACAAAGTGCTTGTTCTTCACAGACACATTGCACAAATACGCCACACATCACAGACACAGTGTTTGTTCTTCACAGACACACAATGTGTTTGTCAGAGAGATTATAGTGTACTTTTAATTTTTGTAATGTCTATTTTTGTCAAAAAGTCTTTTATTCTAAGTATAGCAGAGTGTTTTTTCTTCACGGACAAAAGTAACACACATCAAAGACAAAGTGTGTGTTCTTCACAGACACACAATGTGTTTGTTACAGATATTATAGTGTACATAGCACAGACAAAGTGAATATAAATCACAGACAAAAAAGATTTCTATGTTTATATGAACAGCAATGACAGTTAGTGTTTAACACGGAACAAAAAAGCATACCAATGTACAACATTGGTAATATTTGGGAGTACATTCTAGGACATTGTACAACATTGGTATTGTAATATTGTACAACCTCCTACATTTCACAACCAAACCCATGCAGGCCAAAACTAAATAGTAAGGTTACATCAAAGATTTTACATCCACAACCATCGTACACTAAAATATTCACACCCATTAAAACAAGTCTACTTTGATCGCTTCCTCAAACTCCAGAGCCTCAATGCATATTCACATCTTTTCGCTGCCATGTTCTCATACGCACACTCTGGCATCAATGGCAACTTCTGCAACAGTGCCTCCGCAAACGCTGCTACCATAACTCCGCAAACACCGGATCTGAAAATAATACAATTCATACAGACATTACATTTCTATGCACAGACAAATTGTATTTGTGTACAGACATGAGTGTACCCTGAGTGTTGTTGTGGAACATCATCCACTGCCTCCGCTCTCCAAGGATGTGAATGGGCTATGGAGGTAACGACAAGGTTGCATTTGATGACCCGAAACAGGAGTGGAAGTCGGATACACAAAAGCCTCACAGATGCAACCGACCTACTCGTCTTCAAAGAATCGTATACCCGTACGACGTTATTGAGTAGGTCAATTTCAGATAGCACCCAATGTTTTTCATCAGTGTGCACAGGCATGAACACCTGCATTAAAGTAAATAAAGTAGTTATTAATCAAACTAACTTTTTCATACGTATTATTCAAACCAACCTTTTCATATCGACTCCAATCCATTTTCTTCAGTAATCGGTCCCCCTTCCATTGTTTGTCATCTGCTGCATCCTTCTGTAAAATTTGGTACTGGACCAAAAACAAAAGTACAGACAACAATAGTGTGAAAGCACAAACATTAATGTATCAACGCACAGATAAAACGTATCAAAACCACAGACATAATATAAAGTTTTAATGAATTACCGCGAACAAAGGGCTCATGAGTTCATAGGCCGCGGTCTTTATGGATTTGCGGAACAGAAGAACTAGAGCATCCAAATGCTTCAAACAAAAAAATAAATCCACAATCAAAGCATTCAACTAAAATAGTGTAAAATGAAATACTTCTTATTATGACTCACCTCGCTACTTAGCCATTCATTTTCATCCATTAGCTCTCGGAAGAATGTCCTATTTGTCGGGTAAGATGATGGAATATCTAGGTGAAGTACGGTAGGTTCAATACCATCAATTTCCTCCACCCATGCCTTGAAAGAATCATACTCACCATCACGTCCTTTGCTCAGATTCCCACTTCAACTTTGAAATGAAGGTAAACCTCATTTAGGAATGATTAATGCAAAATCTTTCTTAACCAACAACAATGTAAATATCACAAGCAGTATGACTGTATCCTTAAACATACCTCGTCCACTGCAATCTTTACTGGATCTATTTCCGAATTTTGTGCGTCACTATCAACAGCAATAGAATTCTCCCCTTCAGGCTAAGCATTTACACACATCACAGACATATAACATTTACACACAAACAACAAAACATATAAATACAGCCAAAACATTGGTAGTTACAGACACTGCAAACACATTAAACAACAAACCTCAGTAGCAACATTGACAATAGGATCTGCACACACATTTTGATGTTCAGTAACATCAGGACAAGATTTATCCAGTTCACCCTAACCATTTGGTATTTCACAGACACTTATTAGTTTTGCACAGACAACACGAAATGTGCATACAGGAAAAAAATTGATGCATACAGACACTAAAAATAGCACACAAACTAGTTAAACAACATACCAAATGTTGTGGTTCACCAACAACAACATTACTTTTCTCCCCTTCAGCATCTGTTGCACCAAAATCGTTTTGTTCTTCCAGCTCACTTGGGGCAGAAGGACCCCCCTTACAAACCAAGAGAAGCGTATAGTAATTTTGCATACAAACATATATGCAGTAAATACAAACACAACAAAATACTACACATACAAATGATGTATATACCTTTTCCTTTAAAGCCTTGTTGACTGTATCAATAACCTGAACCAGCAAGTGTTTCAGTTCACCAAGCTCCTCTTCCACTTTTTTGTCCAGCCTTTGAAGACTGCTTTTGATCTCATCAATGTCCGAACACATTGCTTGAACTCTTTCCCTTGTTTCAACTTCAATATTGTCTTCATCTTCAGCATCGGAAGAAGGGGGTGTACGCAACTCCTATGAAAACATGAACATGATTTCGTATTATAAATATATATATTAGGGGACAATTATAATTGACAAAGTAAGAAGACTTACATCAACAAAGACAATTTCTCGTATCTTAGATGACCGGAATTTCCCATGACATGACCAATTTAGTATTGGGACTTCATGATTACCAACACGGGTGCCAAAGTGTTCCCCAAATTTAGGAATTTTTTCATAAGCCCACACCTAAGTGACAAAAAGTGTCTGTGAGCATTTAAAAAGCTGTCTGGGAAGGACATAAAGTGACTGTGAGCATTTAAAAAGCTGTATGGGAAGGACAACAAGTGTCTGGGATCATACCTGTAGGACCAATGGCAACCCGTAAACCGAAAACTTGGCGTTTTTATATTCAGGGTTGTTAGCCTTACTGTCCAAGAACTTCGTTGGCTGCCCATCAAGAAGACCCTTCAAATGTGTGACAAGCAAGTGGTAAGCATCTCTTGACCACGGTTCCTTCTTGAACTCCTCAAAGTCGTTCGCAAGCTGAATCGACCTCCGGTTGATCCTCGTTGTTCTGTCTCTTCCCATCAACACGTTCTCAACTACGAAGAGGGATGCAAGCTTCACCCCTAGCATACCATTCCTTTTTTTATTTCCACCTAACCATTGAACCTTCTCCTTCATCATCTGGAAAGTGATATCCAGTGATCCATGAAAGTATGTATTAGCAATCTCTCCTGGTTCTTCCTCTTCTTCGGCTTGTTCATCATCGTTGTCACTATCTTCAGCCACAACAGGCCTCGGGGCTGCCACAGGTAATCCGGTTATGCGGCAGAAGTCGTTGTACGTGAACTCTATAAGTTTACCCTCAACATTGAACCAAAGCTCATCATCGGGTTGCTGCTTCACCAGCCGTAACAACAACATGTGGACTATTTGGCCACAAAACTGGATATCAGGAATATCAATAAAGTGACCCCATGGTGTCTGCCGGAAAATTTGCAATTGTTTCTTAGATAGTATCGCATGAATGTACTTAGAAGCACATTTCACATCCGAGCACACAAAATACTGTGCAGGGAAATGCTTGCTCAAAGGAATCTGGAGTTGAAGTGCCCTATCATTGTAAGAAAATAAACCATAACTACACAGACATATGTCAAATTACACAGACAAGCTTTCAGTTACATACAGACAAACAATCACGCACATAGACATATGTTTTATTTGCACCTGCTTTTGTCTTATAGCATTGTGTAGCAGTACAGACATCATATTAGTCACACAAACATATCAAAGAGTAATACAGACAATCATATAAGTCTTCACAGACAAATATAGGTAGGGCCAATTACATATACGCTCACAAAGACAAGCACTTAGACAAATCTATCTTCATATAAGTCTTCACAGACAAATAAAGGATACATACCTTTCGGCCATGGTTGATAGCGGGGTTCACACCATTTTCGACGGAGACCGGGAGGAGTGTTCGCAGCGAATGCGCAGCGACAACAGTCTTAGACTGTGGTTGACGGGGTTAGCGGGGTGGAGGGTTTCCTTCGACGGAGGGTTACAGGGGAGAAGGAGGCTGGTCTTCGACTGGGGTTGACGAGGTTAGCGGGGAAGAGGGTTTCGAACGTCGGGGGGGGGGGGGGGGGGGTACAGGGGAGAAAGCTGGTCTTCGTCGGGGAGGTTACAGGGGAGAAAGGTGGTCTTCGTCGGGGGATTAATCAGAAGAAACAGAGCAAGGGAGAGGGGAAGCAACGGAGAAGGTGGGGATGCGGGAAAAATTTGGAGCGGGTGTTTTTTTGAAGTGTTTTGAAATTGGTTGAGGGAAAGGGGGGTAAATTATTTTTGGGGGTATTTATAGTGTGTATGTGTGTGTATAGAAAGTGTGTAACAATAGACTTTTTGAGCTATTTATAGCAATTCGGTGATAGTTGGGCTTGATAACGTGTTGCTTCCTATTGGCCGAGTAGTCTGGTTGTCTTATTCAGCCATATTTGTGCATTAAATATTCTTCCCACCAAATCTAATATTCTCGCCATAGTTAGGGGTGGGCAAAAATACCGGAAAATTGGTATACCGCATTTACCATACCGAAAAATACCGGAAAATACCGGAATATTAGTATACCGTTATTTTCAGTATGGTATCATACTGTACCGATTTATTTCAGTACGGTAATGGTAAATGTTTTCAAATACCGCAGCATACCGGTATAATACCGTACCGACTCTCCTACCCAACAATTACTTTTAATTCTAAAATATTGTAAAAGTCAATTACGTTTTTGAAAGCCAAAATTAATACTTAGGTTGTTCACAAATACCAAAATACACGAATAAAGGTCCAATTTCCCGAACTCACTATAACCTTCTAGGCTTCTACTACCTAACATTCAAACAAACTAACCATGATGACTAATGAGTAATGTAATAATGTCCAGAAACAAGTCCATCTTGTTCCAAGAGTTTGCGAGTCGCGGCAGCTGAGCCGCTGAGTAGCTCACGAGTCAAGAGGGATACACTTATGTGATGAATCTACATAGTGATTCCACAAGCCGAGACACGTGACTTTGTCCAAAAGTCTTATTCAAATATTATTTTAAAATTATAAATATGACTAAATACACAATATCATATTAGGAATAAATGATTTTATATCTATGTCGTTTCAATAATTTTATTTATTTTTGTTAGAGATCACTATTGATTTAAGTATATTTATATTGTTCAAGTTATTTTAGAAGAATGTATTATTTTTTAATATGTAGCATGTTGAACTGCTTAAATATACTAATAATAATTATTGTACAAGATTGAATATGACATCAATAGATTATTAATTGTATCGTGTAGCATTTTAATAATGCATTAAATATGTCGCTAGTAACACCGATTTAGTATATTTCGTTAGTCTATGATAATTTATTTTATTGGGAGACATGCATGGTAATTTACCGATATCGTACCTTTACTGATGGAGTATATGGGTCTGAGCCCCCGGACCCACATACTCGGAAGAACAGAAAGCACAAGACACAGAGTGGCGCCCTCGTCGGCCAAGGGACCCCCGTCGGCCGAAAAGGTGCCAACTCAGACCATGGTCCTGAAGCCAAGGAACTCGGGTGCCCTCGTCGGTCGTGCCCTCGTCGGCCGTGCCCTCGTCGGCCACGCCCTCGTCGGCCACGAAGACCCCACAGAACCGGATTCTACACTTACTCATTTGTACAGCCCATTAGTGGCTTTGTATTCGGCCCAGTAGCGGTCCAGTTGTAAATGGGCCTCCCAAGCCCAAGGCTTGGGAGCCCAGCCCGTATTTTCTCTATAAATACTCCCCTTGGGAGTAGTTGTAGGGGTTCAGAATTCATTAATACCAAGCAAATATACTACTTCTCTCTCTAGCTCTCACTTCTCTCTAGATATATACTCTATCATTTGATGCTCTCGTTGAGAGCTAGAACAATCAAGTTAGCACCCTTCGTCGCTACCAAGCACAGCTAACCACTGATCATGGGGAGAACTAAGTCAAACCGCAACCTCGTCAGCAAAGCCATCCCTGAGGACCAAGAGCCCAGGGAGCACGATGAGGACGCCACGGCCGACCAGATCGGCGAAGGGGACCTCTTCCAGGAGGCCTTCAACCTCACGACGGACCTCCACAACCAACTCAACGGCGGAGCCCCTGATGCCCGCCTCGGCTTGGACAAGAAACGAGCTGAGAAGACGGACCACGCCCCGGCCCAGCCTATGGCCGCGGCCTCTCCGTCCGTGGATCCGCAGGTCCAGGCCGCGCTGTCGGTCATCATCGCCAGCCTGGCTCAGAACCCCACCGTCCTCAGCGCACTCTTGCCAAGGACCGGGGGGAACATCACTCAACCTCCTCAGCCCCAACCGTTAGCCGTCCAGATAGGCAACGATGAGGGGGTGGTGCCCCAGGACACGGCGTCGTCCCACTCCCACCCTGCTTCCCCTCTTCGGCCTGGGCAGACCCCAGCGCGTGGAAAAGCCTCTGCCTTCAATAGGCTAGGTGACACGCGCCGTCGTCCGGTTTCGGAGAGGATGGCGGGACGGATTGGTGAGCCTCGTCCTGGCTCGCCGAGGGAAAGCTTGGGGTCTGTGTCCCGGACAGCGGACCAGCCCCGCCCGGACAAGGGCAAGGGAAAGTTGCACGAGGATGACGTGCGTCACCAGATCAACGCGGCTCACAACGAGCGCATGAGGAACCAGCCGGGCGCCGCTGCGGCCGCCAGGGACCCCCGGGACGAGGTCATCGCCCATCTGGAAAGGAGGCTGGCTCAGATGGAGGCCAAGCAGTCGGCCAACATCCCTACGGCCGGCGCCTCCAACGACCCCGGCCTCAACGCGCTCATGAACAAGGTTAGCGCCCTGGAGAGGGAGCTGGCCGAGGGGCGAGGTGACCCCATCATCCAGGTCAGGACCAGGACCCCTTTCACCAACAGGGTCCTCTCGGCCCCCATCCCGGAGAAGTACAGGGGGAACGCCATCAAGTCCTACGACGGCCGATCAGACCCCCAGGAACACTTCAGCCGTTACCAGAACAACATGCTGATGGTGAACGCGTCCGACGAATACCTCTGCCGTTGGTTCCTCTCTACTCTCGAGGGGCCAGCGTACGACTGGTTCAACGCGCTCCCCGAAGGGAGCATCGACTCATGGCAGGATCTCGCCCAGCGCTTCCTCACTCACTTTGCCGGGAGGAAGCGCGCGAAGAAGTATTTCACCCACCTCCTCTCCGTCAAGCAGCAGCACGAGGAGTCCCTCCGGTCATTCATTGATCGGTGGACGAGGGAAACCGAGGAGGTCGAGGGGGCCGATGAACGCACCCTCCTCGCCTTGTATCAGGGAGCCCTCCGCAGCTCCCCATACGCTAGGAGCCTCATCACCGACCCCCCGAGGTCGTACGCCAAGGCGCTCCAGCGCGGAGGCTTGTATGCCAACGCCGACGAGCTCCACAATCACAAGAGAGAGGGGGGCCATCCCTCCAAGAAGACAAATCCTTCGCCGGCCCCAGGTCCGTCCCCGGCCAGCCAGGGTGCCCAGGGCCGTCACGGCTCTGGTGGACAGAGTAAGAAAGATCGCCACTGGCGGCCGAGGTTGGAACGGCCGGGGGTAACCCTCACCCACCCGGTCGGCACCATCCTCGATTATGCCGAGAAGCACGGCATCATCGAGCAGGCTCCTCGGCCGGCTGAGGAGATCCTTGCCATCCAGCAGGGCGGCACATACTGTCGGTTCCACAAGAACTCGTCGCACAACACCGACGATTGCATCACACTGAAGAAGGCCATCGAGCGCCTTATTCGCCAAGGAGAACTCTCCCAGTTTGTGAAAGGTGGCCCACGCAAGAACACTTGGGTAAACACCGGCAAACATGGGGGCAAACCCTCTGCGAAGAAGCGGGAGATTGGTAGGCTCAGCGACGACGAGGACTTCGAAGAGCCCCCGCCGAAGAAGAATCACATCCACCTCATCGTAGGTGGGAACAATGGGGGGGGGGACTCCGCCACTCAGAGAAAGAAGTGGGCCCAATCCCTTTACATTGGGGAGGTGTCCCACGTCCCCCCCCTAGCCGAAGAAGCAGCGAACGGAGGCGATCACCTTCACCGACAAGGATCTGCCTCCGGGTACGGAATCACACAGGGACACCCTCGTCATCCGATGTGAGATCGGTGACTCCATCATCCACCGTACTTACATCGATACGGGGAGCTCCGTCAACGTGATGTACCTGGACACATTCAAGCAGCTGAAGCTGGACAGAGCTCTGCTGAAGCCGATCAAGACACTGTTATCCGGCTTCACCGGGGACTCTATCGACGCCGAGGGCACGATAGTCCTCCTCGTGGAGGTCGGTGACGGCCCCCACCACGCCAGAATTGACATGGAGTTCATGGTGGTCAACCTCCAGTGCGCCCACAACCTGATCTTGGGCCGGCCAGCGCTGGAGGACTTGGAGGCCATCATCTCCATGA